ATGATGCTTTGGTCTTAAGTGTCCACCAAAAACCAAATATCGAACGTGTGCTCCCCAACTTCCTCGGAAAGTGGTAGAAATATTAGTAGACAGGAACTAGTTAGAGGAAGTAGACCCCTGGGGTGTAGCTTGAAAAGGATACACTGGGGCTCCACTTCCTCCTGCTCACCCCTGTCCTTCTTGGTCACTATGAAGTAAGCACCTTTTACAATACCATGCACACCATTCCATGACATTCTGCCTTAGCATGGGGACAAAATGACAGTCAAGTGATCCTGCACTGAAACATCTAACATTGTAAGCCAGAATACACAGAGCTGGATGTGGTATCGCAGCACTTAGAGGCTGACGCAGGAAGATCACTGAAAGTTCAAGGCCAGCCCAAGCTACATAGTGAGATCCTATCTCAAAAAAAAAGAGAACTTTCCCCTGTGCAAATTATCTCAGGTATTTTGTTACAACAGAAAGCTAACACAAATGCATATTGTAAAATATTTCAAAATTTCAAGCAATTTAAAAACATTTCACATAGAAACTTAAAGTAAATTAATCTTAAAAATAAACATCATAACCTTTAAAATCTACATATAGTAAAAACTAATACAAATTCATTTTTCTGGGTTTTTCTGTTTTGGGGTTTTTTTTCAGGCTGGGCTTGAGCTCACTTTGCAGCCTAGGCTGATGTTGAACTCCCAACAATCCTCCTGCCTCAGCCTCCCGAGGGCTGGGATTACAGGTGTGCACCACGACGCCCAATTTTCTAACATGAACTGAAGTTCTAGTTTTAAAAAAGACCCCTCCTACCTCTTTTCAGTCTAACATCTTAAAAGAGCCAATATAGCATAAGAAACAGTATGAGGCTGAACATTAAATATGAATTCTGCTCCCGGATGAACTTCTCACCAGCTATATGATCTGAAGTGACAGCTTCTCTGAGCTTCATTTTTCCAGCCTGTGAAATGGGAAGCTAATTCTTTGGGAAAGGATCTAATGTAGTCTGAGTATTTCAAAGGGCAAAAGACTGCTCCATAAAACACGTGTTGTCCTTACACCTCATTTCATTCATGCATAAATTAAGGAAACTAAACTACTGAGCTCTAAGCTTCCTTTAAACCTAATCTTGAAGAGCTTTCTCTTATAATAAGTGGCATATAAAATTAGTTGAACTTTAATGTTTTTCATTATGTTCTGAGTGGGACCCTCCCCCAGAAATTCAATAAAAATGACTAAAAATTTATATTCCCTTTGCTGAAAGATGGTTACAGAGTAGATCACCAAAAATCAAAAACAAGAAGAAGGAGAGAAAAGAAAGAGGAATAATACCGAATGCTTCCTGAAAATGATTTCATACTACTTGGCTAAGTATCTCAAAAATTTGGTTGGGGTAACCAAAAAAATAAATGGTCAAAGAAAGGAATGCAGGGCTCCTTTCCAACTGAATTCAAGGACAAAACTTTGGGGACATAACTTAGCACCTATAAAAGGCTTTTCCTTATTCCTTATTTTGCCATTTCACAATTTATACAAAATCCTCTCAGCAATGTACTTTGTTGCAGGAAGAAATGTCTGATCTTTTTTGTGGGACAGAAGGCAAATTTAAATCTGTCAGAAAGAAGGCTGGAAGGGACTGTAGGTAAATAAGGGAGAGAGTAACAGAAGATAACGTCAGGGGGAAAAGTAGGGGCCAAAATCATAGAATCACACAGGCCATGAGAAGAAATCTGAATTTTATTCCAAGTGGGGTGAGAGGCCACTGGGGAGCTTAAGTTCGGGAATGTCACGCATCACATTTTTAAAAGATCATTCTAGTTATGTTGAAACTGAGCTGTGATGGGGTAAGAGTCCAGAGACAGAGAGACAGACAGGAGGCAGAAAGGGTAGAGGAGAGGGTGGCTGAGTAGTTCAAAGGGATGGCATGGCTTGGACAAGGACAATGCAGGATGGTCATGAACAAAGTTAGACTCAGGACCATTTTGAAGCTAACAGAACTTGCTAGTTGACTGTCTATTTGCAATAAGATAGGGAAATCAAACCGAACTCCTAGGCTTTGGAACTCAGCAAGGGAGTGAACGATACTAGGAACAAACATGAAGGACATCAGCTTAGCTTTTAGGGCAAAATACTTATTTTGAATATATTAGGTTTATAAGGCCAATTAGAACACTCAGATGATGTAGTCTGTTGGATATTTGTAGAAATTAAGGGAAACATGTAAATCTAATGACATTTAAATCTAGGGGACTGAATGAAACCACCTAGGTGGGAAATATAAATGGAGAAGGCAAATTTACCAAGCTCTAAGCTCTGGCAACACCCGTACTTACAGCAGAGCTGAGAAGATGCAAGAGAACTAACAAAGAGGGGAAGGCTAGAGAACGAGACAGAAGAACAGGAATGCATGACAGCCCAAGCAAAGAAAGGAAGCCAGGAGGAAAGGAGCAGTCAGCCCAGTCAAGCTGCCACGGCCAGCCACTCACACAGGACGCTGTGTACGCATCAAGGTGCCTTGAGTTCTTAAAAAGAAATAAATATACCACATAATCACAAAGTTCTAGATTAAAATAGACTCTCTTCCACCTCTACTTTAAGTAAAATGTGTCCAATCAAGAAATAAAAAAAAGAAAGAAAGAAACAGAAAGAAAATTACCTGAAGAAATCTCTCACTAAGACTTTGAAAGTGTTTCCTTGAAATCTTTCCTTATTTATAGAGATTTGGGTTCTCTTATTTAAATGATCTAATTATGTGGTGCATGTTATTTTATAGCCTGTTTCTTTCATTCATGTAGTTTTATATCATACTTTACATCATAGTTTTATATCATTTTCATGGGACTGGGGATATAGCTCAGTGGTAGAGTGCTAACTTAGCATCGCGGGGCCCTGGATTTAATTCCCAGTACAATTAATTAATTTAGCTCTAACAATAAAAATTAATGAATATCTAATTGGAAGACAACAGTATGCAGTATGACAACCATTGTTGAATTCCTGGCATCTTGTTTATTGAAACTGTTATTGTTTTAATGTTCTTTTTATTTACTAATTTTATTCTTTTAAAAAAATAAAAAAGTTAATGGCCTAATATGAGCGGGTACCATTCACGGGCTGGGCGTGAGCCGGCCCTCCATGAGGGCTGCACAAATGTGCTGCACTTCACCTTCATAACGACTTCCTAAGAAGGCTATTCTCCAAGAAGATTCCTGACCACAGAGGTGCTGGATCAAAAAGCACTTTAGGACTTCTGCTATTTACCATCGAACTGCTTGACATCATGTTTTCCCCAATATATTTTACTACAAAAAGAATAACTTGAAAAATCAACTTCAACCTAAAGTCAAAGTGTTAAAAGAGTAAACCTCCAAGGGGAGAAAATAAGGACTCCGAGTGGCCACCAGAGGGCGGCCGTCTCATAGCACTGCTGAAACATACCTCATCCGAGAAAAAAAAAGAAAGGCAGATTTTATGCGGGGCTTGCAGTTTTAAATTAAGTATGTGAACTTCTTCACGTTGGGTTCTACTTTCATTATGTTCCAGCACAGATGCTACTTGTTTGCTCTATCACTATCTGTTCTTAGAAGTTACAATAATGAAAAGGCTTTTTTCTGGCCTTAAGTTATCTCCAGAGCAAGCACAGGTTGGCATTTACTTAACAGTAAGGAGAAGTGCTTTATTGCTTCAAGGAAAAAATAAAAGCAAGCGCCAGCAATGTCCACAGTACGATAAGAGATCTAGGAAGCTACTGACAGTTATCTAGTACGATGAAGCGTTTCTGATTTCCCAACAACAAACCTCACCTTCCTTCTGTCTGTTTTCCTGTTCATTCGTCCATTTATTCAACGGACATTGAGCGCACAGCTACTTTTGTCAGGATTCATGTCAGAGATTGCATCTACATTGGTAAACAAAACTGGTATTGTCCCTGACCTTGCAGAACTTAAAACGTAGTGAGTCAGCCTTGCATGACTCACATCTACAAATAAATATAATTAATAACTGTGATAGATGGCATGAAAAAATACAAGTGGATGTGAGAGCATGGAAATTTCCACTTAGTGTGGAAATGATTTCTAGTCACCAGGAAATGATTTCTAATGAAGTGATCTTTAACTAAAGGCCTGAAGGAAGAATATAACTTAGAAAGACAGAGTCTGGGGCGGGGCTCAAGATGGATTAGAAGGACTTGTCCAGGCAGAGGAAAGATCATGAAAGAGAATCTTGAGACAAGGGAGCAAAGCTTATTTTAGAAATAAAAGGCAGAATGCCTGTATCAGGCAGTAAAAAAGGAACAGCACAAGGTCTACCTGGAAAGTTGGCAGAAACTGAATCATATAAAAGAAAAAACTCACAATTTATTCTAAAACAACTTCCCTACATATGCTTTACTGGACAGCAGATTAGAAGCAAGAGTAAGCTTCAACAGAGATTTTTTTTTTTCAGAATATTTTCAATTTCAAATATTGTGCTACTCTGCTCTCACAAAAATATTTGTGTCTGTGAAAATAGGGTATCCTGATTTTTTGGTTGGTGAAAAGTTCTTCAAATAATATTTCTAGTCTTTACGTTTAAGAAAACTGAAGATTAGAAACTTTATTTTAATTCTGCCTAAATGTGGTTTTCTTTGTTTTGATGGGGATAGGGGTGTGCTAGGCGTTCGGAACCTGCAGGCTAAGGCCTTTCATCAGCATGGAAATCCTTGGCCACTATCCTTTCACACACTCCTCTGACCTAGGATCTCTCGCTCCCTTTCTGGGTCTTCAGCTGCATCAGCAGACCTCTTGGCTGGGTCCCAGTGTCTTTCTTGCTCTGCTCTTGCCACTGTATTGTGCTACATACTTCAGTGGTGTGCCAGGGACTTTTTCAGTGCTGCTGAGGCAAACACAGTGTGCAGGAACTGAACTCACCTCCTTAGGACTGTTTGAAAAGAACCAACATATATAGAAAGACTTTAAGATGAAAAGAGCAACAGAATAATTACATGGAAAAATTAAGCAAAAACATACCTGTGAGAACATCACAACTGGCTGACCGATTATTGCACTGGCAGGGCAAGCAACCATTCTTGCTAAAACCGTAATATCCCTCTTGGCATTGATTACACGTCGCCCCGGTGACACCCGCTCGGCACTGGCAACTCCCAGAACTGTAAATAAAAGCCAAAACAGTGAACAAACGTGAATTGTTTTGATTATAGATGTTTCTAACATAGCAAAGGGTTTCAACTGAATTCTAGTTACTAGAAACAGGATTTTTTTTTTTTAAGTTTAAATTGGAAGTTGCAAAACTTCATGACTGTATAATTCAGCTACCATGGTACTAACACTAATCCTTGCAACTATTTAATCCTGTATACTTTGGCAGTTTAAAATAAATGATAAGGAATCCATGGAAAGTAGAAGTTCCCAGTGCTTAGAAATCAGTTGATATTAAGCACTGGGACATGGAACTCATACCACTGCATATTTCTTTCCTGAAGTATCCAACATTTTAACAGCATCCATTTCAATGCAGAGAAAAGAGGAAACATTGCTATCCTCCACCAAGCTTCTGGAGGAAGAATATGAAGATTAAGATCTTAATGAAAAAAAAAATGAAAAAAAAAAAAAAGATCTTAATGAATGTGCCAACTTAGGCCTATTTAGATCCTACGAATTGATGCTACTCCTTATTTTGTGCCTAGGATGCATTTGAATCAATTTTGCTAAGCTAAAGATGGCAAAATGAGGATTTCTAAAAATCCATAGAAATTCTAGATAGTTATCCCTCCAAGAAAAAGAAGGCTAGAATTCTAAAGAAAAATACTGTTAGTACTCTCTATATTCCTACTTAGATATTTTCTCTTCTTAGATGTTCACTATAACAATGATACCCTTTCTCTCCAATCATTAAACCTTTGGTGTCACTTTCAATTCTTCTCTCTATTCTTATGAACATTTATTCATACCCAATAAATGATCAACTTTTGTCTTTTCTCTCAAATATTTCTCAGTATTGTCATTTTTCGTATGATCATTCTTAATATACTGTTTTTTTCCCTCTTCACCTCTACAATTTTTCTGCTTTCTAGGCTCTTTCTCCATGAAACTTTGCTCTATGTAGTCCTCAGAAACCGTATGGCTTACTGACTTCATGTCAACTTGCATTGTCCTATATTCTTTTAGTATGTAAGTCTTGTTTTCCTAGTCGCTTACACATGCTCTGACACAAGTATCATAGTTTTCTGTCTTTAAGACCTATCACGATTATAGGGACTATGTACTGTAATAACCTTTTTCATGTCATACATCTTACTAGATAAGTTTTCTTGGTTCAGGGACCATATCTTAGAGAGCTTACTACCTACAGATAGGATATAGAGCATATGCCCAGCTTGTTGTAGATACTTAATGAATGTTTGACAAATAATAAAGGCACAGATTAAGCTGCTGGTGGGGTATGTGACTGGAAGTGTCAATAGCACTTTGTGAGGCTGAAGCAGGAGGATCAAAAGTTTGAGTCCCACCTGGGAACATGAAAAGAGCCTGTCTTAAAAAGTTTAACAAAAAGCTGAGGTTTAGCTTAATGAATACACCCTGGATTTCATCCTAAATACTGCAATGACAAAAAGAAGCAAACAAACAGAAAAGACCACATACTAAATTTGAGAAGTAAGCATTTAAAAGGGAAAAAACAAAAATGAAAGACAACACTAATACTAGGGTTTTGAGAAAAAACATACATAGCCTAGGGCTGAGCTGGTTAGGCCTCACCAGCCACACTGAAATTATATTCAACTTTATTTATTTTATGTATTTTTACATAACTAGAGATGGAACCCACAACCTTGTGCATACAAGACAAGTGCTGAAACACTGAGTCCTAACCCTGAGACCCTTATTTACATGCTTATTTTTCACCCTCAAAATTCTGCACTTCTGAATAGATTTTGACACCACTCATGTCAGATGGGGGACAATTTAAGGTAAAACAGCTTTTAAAATAGATTTTCTTAGATATTCAGCTTCTTAATAATGAGCCCCTGTGGAGCTGTTTATCTTAGTTCAGGAGGCCGAGCTAAAACTAACACCTATGCACATCAATTGAAGCAATCCACTATTACCTTCTCTACTTATGTATCTGTAATAGAAATTCTAAATTTAAGGGTTGGTGGAATTCATTTCACAGAATGGAAATGCTACAACTTTTAACTATGTGTGTTCTACTTATAGTATATAAACCTAAACATACTTTTTCACTAGGCTAAATAATGAGGGATTTTTTTTCTTTTGCTTCTGAAATTTATTTTGAGTAATTAGAGTTGAATTTTACTTCTGTTTTTCTATTACTCTAGTTCTTTTTTTTTTTTTTTTTCAGAACTGAGGATTGAACTCAGGCCCTTGTGCTTGCCAGGGAAGCACTTATTCCACTGAGTCATCTCCCCAGCCCCACTCTAGTTCTTTATAGTATCACCCAAACTATTAAAAAGTAGTAGGAAAGTGGAGGTTATCTACATGAAAAATTTTTAGGGCTAAGACCAATCTACAAAAGAAAGTCTAGCTCAGGTAAATAATACGTGCTTATTGTATCTCAAAGCCTTTTACTCTAAGAAATCACATATCCAACTAATTTCTATTAAAATCTTCCTAGTATAGGTTATATAATTTCTTGGTTTTCAAGAGTTAAAGACATCATATCACAGTGACACATGCATACCCCTGTTTACAGCAGCACAATTCATTACAGCTAAATCTTGGAAGAAGACTATACGTTCATCAACAGATGAATGGATAAAGAATACTGTGTTATTTATACACAATGGAGTATTATTCTGCCATAAAGAAAGATAAATTTGAGGCATTTATAGGAAAATGGATGTACCTGGAGGTCATAATGTTAAGTAAAATATATCACATACACAAACATAAATATCATGTTTTCTCTTATATGAGAAACCCAACATATAAATGAAGAGCAAAATAAAAGACAAGTAATAAAAAGTAGAACAATAGATCTCTCTCAAATGGGAAGAGAATCAAGAGATGGAGGGAGAAGGAGAGAGGAGAAGGGAATAGAAAAGAAATTAAGATGTGTTATGTACATGTGCTAATTTTACACAAGGAATTACATTAGGTACTCCAAGTGTAAAAATATAAATACATGAGAAAACATAAAACTAAGGCACCTGGAAGCAGGAACAGGACAACATTTAATAATTATGAAAACAATAAGCCTTGTTTATTGAATGTCTGTGTTAATAAATACATATTTTCTGTCACCCTAATGGCAATTCTACAAGGAAGAAGTCCTAATCTTCATTTCACTATTGAAAGAACTGAGAGAGGATGAAGTTTCTAACCATAGCTAGCAAGGCATGTTTATTTCTACAAAGCCAAACTTTTCCCATTATCATTCTTTATGTCCCAAGCACCACAATTCACCATATATGCAGGTTCTGACTTCAGTGATACTATTTCTAGCTTGTCCAGAATAAACCTTGGTCTCTCTTTTCTTCTCTATTAAAAGCTGAGGAATCTTACTGCTCGAAGATCAGCTGTTATTTAACAAAATGCAAGCAAGTATTTAAAAGATATGAGCCCAAATATTTTGATGCTCAAATGAATTTAAGCTTAATTAAACTTATATTGATTATATAAAAGACGAGCATTGTTTTCAACGACAACATAAATTTACCATACATATCTCTGAAGAGTAACTTTGCAAAACAGGAAAGAAACACCATAAACATGTATCTGCATATCTTACCCATAATGAACTAAAAGATCTAGCAAAGGAAATCAATATTCATCAAACATAAAGTTCAAAAACATCTCAGGACTCAACCAGAAGGAATTAATTCATTTAAGTCTCTCTATACTGTTGGAAGATTACAAAGAATATACTGTACTTTTCAAAGAACAGCTAGCAATGCTTCTTTAGCCAATTTCCAAGGCTTTTACGGCATTAAAACATGCTTACTTCTCCTTCCTCTAAAGAATAATTAAAGATTATTCCACAAACAAGATAAACAGTTTGACAATGATGCCTGCCTAATACACCACCTACAAGAAAAATGATCATCTTAGATACAGAATCAATATCTCGTAGTCATCATGTAGCCAGTACTCCCAAAGTAGTTGCTAGCCCCATATAGGAATTTTCTTTATAACTCTCTTCCAGGTACCAAAAGACTGCTGTAAGCTGGCATCCTTCTCCCTGGATAATCTATTCTTTAATTGCTAATTTTTTAGAAATCAAAAGAAACTTCCTGAATTCTGACGATTCTGTTGACTGAATCTAGCTACTGTACTCTTTCCTGCATAGTTTAAAATAACAGGGAAGGAGGTGGTTTTCTCTCTTTAAAAATATCTAAAGAACAGAGTGGGAAATCGTGGTTGTGGAACTGTGCTAGAAGTGCTCTTCCCTCTTGTTACTCATGGCCCATGGCCAGTTTCTGCATGTTCAAGAATTAAATCACTCAACAAACATAAAGCTTGCCTGTGTGACTTCTCTTAGAGAATAAGGGCTTTACAACACCCCCTTTCATGGGCTCCTTTTATTAAACACTGTTGAATGCTTTCTGAAGCAAAGGTCAACGATATAAATACAATGAGAAATGGTCTGTTAACAGACCACTTATGCTTATGTATAGATTTGAAATAAAGAACACAAGACATACAGTTTCATTTTTTGGAAAATAAGGGCACAGAACTGGATTTTCAATAGAAATCCAGTTATCTATACTACTGAAATCAGTTTTAAAAAATTTTTAAGATTGCTCTTCTGGAGCTACTTCTTAAAAATGTGAGTTTCTAGTAAAGTACTAATGTAATATAGAGAATTATGTTAAAACAATATATAATGATTCACAAAAGCGATTCAGCTATACTAAGAACAAATCAACATACCTTATGCATTTGTTAAATTAGCCCAAATGGGGTTCTCAGATTATTTTTTGGTGTTATTGTGATAGTATTTACAAACTCATGGATGTGAACAGATATTACAAGGTTTTAATACGCTGGGGTGAACAGATATTACCAAGTTTTGACATTGAAAAAAACCAGTTGTAGTAGATAGAAGTAGCACAGAAGTAGAGCACAAGCTCAGCATATGCAAGGCCCTAGACTCAACCTGCACTCCAACATTTTTCCTTTTCTTATGAGA